ACTTAAAATTCAACTCAAGATGCAATGCTAGTTTCTCAAAAATAAATGCATATCATAAAACCAAATCATACATCATAACTTAAATGATTCAAAATCATTTCATATCAAATCATCAAGACATAATATATATATATATAATCAAACCACATATCTAGGTTTTTATTTACTTGTAGGGTGAATATAACATATCATTAGATACAAACATAAAAAGGTCACGCCACTTGTGATTAGGTTTTCATATGTTGGCCGACACATGGGCTAGCACTCTACATCTCCTGCTAGCCGGAGCCTCGTATCATTAAGCTCAAAGGCTATGCCTTCGTAGTTAGGTTCCCCAAGGTCTCAAAAACATTTCACAAATCATATAAACTTATATATATATATATATATATTCTAAATCTAGTGCTTCAAATATAATGCATGCTCAAATCATATTTGAGATAATTCTATATCAAATAAACATTTACAAAAATTTTACGAATAATCAAAATAACAATTTAAGGTAAATGTTTATACAAATTCATAATCACATATCAAATCAAGTAAAATATTTTCTCAAACGTATATTCAAATATATTTTCAAATCATAGCAATTCATTTCAACCATTTTTTATATAAAATCAGCTCAAATAAACATGGAGTCCATTCTAGTTTAAGTTCTAAGGAATGTGATTAAACTATACTTAAATCAATGATGCATGACGAGATGTAATCAAAGGAATTCAAAAAGCATGATATGCTATATAATATTCACTTACAAGTACTAACGAAGGATCAAATAGAATTAAGGTTGCTAAGATGGAGTTGTCTCGCTCCGAAGAATCCAATAGCATAAAATGGTGGAACAACCATCAATATCACATATTAAAGAATAATTCAAAATAAATGAATTATTCTAGGAATAGAAACACACGATTACTTATAGGAATGGAATTGATCATAAGACTCAAATAATAACTTTAACCGAACTCTATGACCTCTCTAACAATCCAATTATCCATTATCAATCCACAATTCAATCAAACTTCATACATACTATCTTTTCTCAAATCCAATTTAATTTTTTAAACAATCAATCTTTAATTAAATCATCAATTCCATTTTAATTCACTTAATACTCGTTGTATTTATTTTTAATTGCACTTATACTTACTTCTTTGTTTCCTCTAAATTTTTTCGCTTAAAAACTTAAATTTCATATTTTTCACTATTCCTCATCTTCAACGTCTCAATTACTCAAATTTACTCAATTCTAGTTCAAATTAACTTCATAAAATACTTACTCAAAATAATTAAATATCATCCAAACACTTAGAATAATTTAATCAACTCTTTCTCCAAATAGGTCTCAAAACTCTAACCTCAATCTAACTCAATTCTTCACTCAATCAATAAACTCAATGTAATCTAACTTTAAAATCATCAATAACTACATGTAAGTACCCTAATTTAAAGATCAAATGATTAAAAATCATACCTTTCACACTTTGCTCTTCAATCCCCAATTCAATCCTAGCCCTTCAAGCTTTTCAAGCTTTAAGCTAGCTAAACTTCACTTAATCAACTAGTTTATGATTTTCCTAAGCTAATTTAACAAAGTCTTAGCTTAAGAATTGAAAGAGAGAATTGGGAGAAATTCGGAGAGATATGCGTGAGAGAGAAGAGAAAGAGGAAACAAAAATTAAAGCGAAAGCCAAGTTGTCTCATTTTTGTACCTAGCTTTTTTTTAACTTAAATATCATTTTAGGTCGAGTTATTACAAATAGTCTCATATGTTTTTATATAACAAACCGAGCTTTCAATTAGTCTCATTTTTGTCTTTACATCCTAAAATGAGTCAGTTATGTCTTTGTTATTTAAGCAAATTTCCAATATGTTATTCCGATCAATTTTTTTTTTATTAAACCCACATGAAAATGTTACATGACCCGCATATAATTTTTTTTCTAACAAAAATTCACCTCATAGTTTTACAATTCACGTTTCTAATTTGTCCTTATATAATGAATTAAGTTTTTAATTTGTCCTTAATGCTAAGAAGTCCATTATATTATTGTTAATAATTATAATGTATTGCACTATAGTGAATTTTTTGTTAATTAAAAATATATAAAAATAATTAGAGCATGTTAGTATATAAGTATTCAAATAATTATTATTTAATATATTTTTCATGCTAAATGCTAAATAGTCCATTATATTATTATCATTATAATAATTCATTTAAATATAATATTGAATAAATTGATATAATATTTACTAATACATTAAATTATCTCTATAAAAGAAAACATAAGAATTGCATGTGAAAAAAATAATTATAATTTAAATGATTGTTAATTAGTCTTTTAAACATGTAATTAAACAAAATAATCATATTTGAATAATTGTTAATTAGTCTCACAAGCATGTAATTAAAAAAAAAACAATTCATTGCATTTATATAATTATTAATTAGTTTCTTAAGCATGTAATTGAAAAATAAATAATTACATCTTTTCTTCAATTATATAATTATTTGTTTTATCCTACACGATTCACATATTTTCTTTTATAGAGATGATTTGATATATTGATAATTTTTTAATATTATACATAAGTGAATTATTATAAGGATAATAATATAAAGGACTCTTTAGCATTAAAAATATGTTAAATGATGGTTTAATAACAAATTTTGATCACATTCTATTGTGATTGTCTTTTTCAGATCCTTAGCATTAAATTGTGCAATTTGAACCCAAATTATTGATTTTTGAGTAAAATTGATATAATTTTCTTAATTGTTGTTATATATAACGGTTAACTCGAATTAACTATTACTTGAAATGCCAAAATGATGTCATTTAACATTCCACCATTAATTATTTTTTTAACATTTTAAAAATATTTTTAACCTTTCGAATCTTGAATTTTTTTAAGACTTTTTTCTTATAAAATATTATAATTTTTTTTTATAAATTATATAAAAACATTTTATAAATATTTTAAATCCCTTTAATTTTGAATTTTTTAAAAATTTTTTTATAAAATATTATAAAACTTTTATAATTTTTTTTTTAATATTAGGGGGTTCAACCCTTAATTATGCTTATTTTAATTTATAAATTTTTTTATAAAATACACAATTTTGGGCCTTCAATAAAAAAAATTGTTTTATACATTAAAATGAGCATAATTAATTGTTAGCCTTCCTAATTTTATAAATTATAAAAAAAATTATAAAATATTTATAATATTTTATAAAAATATTTAAAAAAATCAAAATTAGGGGGTAAAAATATTTATGAAATTTTTTTATATATAATTCATAAAAAATAATTTATAATATTTTATAAGAAAAAAGTTTAAAAACAAATTCAAGATTTGGGGGGCCAAAAATATTTTTTAAAAAAATCATAATTAACTATGAAATGCCAAAACGATATCATTTTGGTATTCCAAGTAATGATCAAACTAATTAATCATTACGTATTATGATAATTAGAGAAATTGGATTAATTTTACCCAAAAACCAATAGTATAAGGCAAAATTTGGTATTAAAAATCTAAAATTGTCAAATCACAATAGAATGAAAAAAATTTGTCATTAAGCCATTGAATGATAATTTATTGAACACTTACATACTAACTTATACTAATTATTTTTATATTTTTTTAATTAATCAAAAAATTCACCATAGTGTGATGCATTATTAGAAAGATTTATTAACAATAATATAATGAACTCTTTAGTATTAAAAACCCAACCTATAATATGAAAACATATTAAAAACTTAACATGTTAAGTTATAAGGGGTATTTTTGTAAAACAATTATGTGTAAGTTATGTGGCATTTTTAGGTGATTTGGCCGTAAAAATTAACTGGAAAGGCAGATTCAAAACTTACTTAAATAATGGAGACATAACTAATTCATTTTAAGATATAATTAGATTGGAAATTCAATCTATTATGTAAGGACATGTCGGACTATTAATCCTATAATTTTATTAATTTTGTCTTTGGATAAGAGTAATACCATTTTATTTTGAGTTTTAAGTTTTGTAAATAGTGCAAATTTATTAAGACATAACAATATAGTTTACTTTGTTGTATTTCCGAAACCACATACAATATACATTTGTTCCATTGCATTAGAATTTTCAATCAATAGTGCATATCGTCTCAAGAAAACAATCTAGTTGTATTTAAAGACAATCACCTCAAGATTTTAGTAAAACTATTTTGATGGTTTGGTTATCTTTATACCATAAAACATGATAACATGATTTTTCCTAATTTTCCTAATAATCAAAGTAAAATGTTTTAATTTTTTTAATCCATTTTAATTTATAATGAATTTATTTATTTATTGTGAATTTTTATTATTTAATTGTGCGTGCGCGCGTGTGTTTTTAATGTGGTGTTTTTAATGTGGTGGGAACCACAGAATTGCTCAATGATTGGGATGCACAACGTATGTAAATCGTACAAGCAAGCCAAGAACGCTTCAGGAGAATAACCAGCATATGAACAATAAAGGAGGAAAAAAATTTTCAAATTTACAAGCTTTGAAAATCCAGCTGCACAAGATCATAATCTAACAAAGGCCAAATACAAACTCCTGAAAAGCAGAAAATCTCGTCAAAGAAAGCCCACATTACTGGCTACAAAACATTGCAAATTTACAAGCAAATCATCAGAAAAGACGAATGATAATAGTGTGTTTTAACTTCCATGTAGAGCATGATTTTCTGCTCCATTTGATTTTTGACCATGAAAGATGAATGATCAATCTCAATATAAATCAATTCAACAGAGAAATGTCGCTGATAAAAAAGGCAACCAACACTGTCAAAAGCATAAACAAGCAAAGGCATTCATCAGGAACGTAACGGATCATCTGGCATCTAGAGAAAATAAAGCTTTCCCAGACCAAGTGACTTGATAAAAGAATAAACAAGCAATGCAAAGGCGATGACAAAGTAATTAAATCTCAATGAAGCTTGATTTCGTGTTTTAGAGGATGCTTTTTGTGGCCGGGCTGCTGAACTTTGAGAGTCCCTTTTGCTTAAGAGCTCCTGTGTTCTTGGATGGAGATGGAACCTTGAAGCCTTTTCTTATGTTCAGAGGACTTTCAGATTTACCCTGATTCGCAGTAACCATGGTTTCAGCTGGCTTCTTCAGCTCAGAATTACAACTTTTCAAAGTCAAGGTTCTTTCATTCTTCCATTTGTTTCTCTTTCCAATCATCCCATCATTATCTGCAACAAATCAACATAAAAATGAGCAATTTACGGTTGAGAAACTAAGAACTTCTTGAAAGGAATTCAATAATGAGAAACATAAGAACTTGAAGGAATGGTGCAAACTAGATACCAGGACTAGACAAGACTGCTCGAGGACGCAATGCTGATTGGGCTCTGAGATTACGTAATTTGTTACTCTCTCCAGTACGTTTGTTGTCCTTCAATTTGCCTACAGACAAGTAGTATTTTATCAGTACAGATACCAACAATATTTCTGCATCAAAGACTGGCAGAACAGAACCATGTGTTAAATAATGTAAGAGAGATTGAACCTTTGATTGCTGGAACTGGCTGCGTTTTCAAGTTTGAAACAAAATAAGGCTTAGCAATCCTTGCAACTGAAGGTGAAGAATCACTTCGATTCCCTTTTTCTGCAAGAGTTCAAGCATTTTTGAATTAATTTAACCCTGCAAGGCTGCAATCAACGAATAAAATTCCATTTGGTTATTCATTTATACTATCTATATACCTGAAGCATGGGAGAAGCAACCTTCCACTGATAGAGATTCAGTTATAACTTTTGAAGAGAGCATAGATTCATGATCATTTGGGGGAGAAAATTCATCATCTTCTTCTTGTTTTCTCACCTTTACCCTTGGATACACTTAAAAATCCAAAAACAAAACATTTCCACGTTAGGTAAAGCAGGATTTTTCACAAAGTCTTGATGAAGAAAACATAATTTCAGAACAATTAAAAGCCTACTCTTTTAGCGTGTTTCAAAATGCATGAACAATTTAAATATAGCCCAGTTTGAGCTCACAAGTTTACATCAACTGCCCAGTTTGAGCTCACTTTAATATTGGAGTTTCTGAAACGACATGAAAGAAAAAGCAAAGAAAAAGAAAGAAAATAACTAAAGAAAACACCAGCCTGTGAGACAATAACTCACTCACTTTTTGGCCTTTGTTGCTTTCAAATTCAAATTAAAAAAATGTCTTGGTTTTTTCTGAAGTTGGCTCGAGGGTGTGATTTGATTTAAAAGCAAGAGAGAAGTTCACGAGGACCATGACTAGACAACATTAATGCTTTGGTGAGGTTGTGGGCTTGTGAAAAGTGAAATAGAAGGAACTGGTACTGGAGGAACTGAAAAGTTGCATTTTTCTGATTTCTTAACTTGTAAACCAAGAACAGATCCTGCAGCTGACACATTGGCAGTGAAGACATGCGATTGAGAACTTGCTCTTTGAATTATGTTTGCGTTGCAGAGAGAGAGAGAGAACATAATTTCTTTCAAAAATCATGGGAACAGAAGGGTTTCGTCCCTTGACACATTAAATCAGACAAAAGATCACTGAATCACAGGATGCCAAAAACAAAGTTAGACGAGCAATAAGGCAAGTAGTTGACGACAAAGATAAAATTAAGACAGCATTTTGATCAAGCAAATGCTTGCCTCAACAAGTTCAGCTAAACATTGCACATGCCCCGGGCTTACAGTTTTAGAAAAATGGAAAAGTGGAATGGAAGAAAATTATCTCCATTAAAATAGCACTAAAGTATGAAAAGTTGGAAATAAAATAAAATAAAAATAAATTGTAGGAAAATCCTCAATTTAGTCCCAGACTTATACACTCATTATCAATCAAGTTCCACACCTATAAATTTTATCAATATAATCCAAAACATTTCGACAAATTCTCAATTGGTTTTTCTATTACTGGTCATCAATATTTTCATCAAGTATTACTTTAAAATGATGCCATTTTGGGTGCATACAATATGCATATTGTGCTAAGAATGTTGGTGTTTATTAACTTTTTCTTCTTCTTTTTTTAAATCGACATTGTTATAGTTCAATATATATTTTTAAAAAAAATTGTCAAAATAATGCAATTGAAAAATATGAAAAACTTAATTGATAAAATTTATAGATTTGAGAGGCAATTGATAACGAATATATAAATTTAGGACTGAATAGAGGCTTCCTAAATATTGTAATCCCCGCCCCGCCCCCGTCAAACACAACACAAAGTTCTATTCAGCTCTAATAGGTATTAAAATACAAGCCTAAAAGTTAGCTTTGTGGTTAATGAGATTTGTTTTTTTCCTAAATTTTATGGGCTCACATCTTTGGGACAGCACTTGAGAGAATTTGTTAAATTTTAGAATTTAGCCTTATTTTAATTTACTCAACGATCCCTAGTAAATAGTAATGCTCTAAAATTAGCCTCCAAATTCACTTGTCATTGGATAAATTCCAGGGATAGTAGAGTAATTTGATTTGGCAAATCAGTATTGAGGTGATAAGCAGTGGTAAATGGTAATTTACAAGAGCAGCGCATAAAACCCTTAACCGAGCCAAAACCCCTAACTACGACTACTACTACCAGTCATCCACCATGGCTTCGCAGTCACGAAGAGGCGGACTCTCACTCCCCGACCGGCGAGGCTCTTCAAAGCAGGAACCGAACATCCTCGCCAAAATCAACAACTCTCAAATCGTATCGAAAGGAAAGCAAGCAGCCTGCGACACCGTTTTTGTCGCCAAAAAGCTCCTTAAAAGCACAGGCAAAGCCGCCTGGATTGCCGGAACTACTTTTTTAATCCTGGCTGTACCTTTGATTATCGAGATGGACCGTGAGCAGCAATTCAACGAACTCGAGCTCCAGCAGCAAAGCCTTCTTGGTGCCCCTCCCGTTGCCCCTACTCCACCCAAGTAGATCGGATCCGGTTAGAGATTGTTCAATTATGTTGCGTGTGTTTTGTAGTCTCTGTTTAGAGATTTGGATTTTGAGCTTTAATAATTAATGTATCTCAATTTTCTCTCTCATAAAAAAAAATTGAATGTCTTGGGTTTGCAATGGTTAAAGTGGATTTTGGTGATTAATGATGGGGATTTTGTGATTTATCAGGTTTGATTTCTGTTAAATTTTGGGTTTTGTGTGAAATTTGAATGTCTAATTGATGCTTTTGATGTTTGATTTGATTTGAGTCTTAGGTTTATCGTCACTTGTCGGTGATATGTAAACTAATTTGAATCGATAATCTATTCATTAATCAAGTTAGAAACCTTTTTTATTTATGATTCAAAGCAAAACCAAACTGAAGTTGAATGTATAGGTCATGATGAACAGCTATGTAACTAATTTGAATTGATAATCTAGTTATTAATCAAGTTAGAAACCTTTTTCATTTATGAGTGAAAGAAAAACCAGACTGAAGTTGAATGTAGAGGGCATGATGAACGCCGACAACTATGTAACTAATTTGAATTGATAATCTAGTTATTAATCAAGTTAGACACTTTTTCATTTATGAGCGAAAGAAAAACCAGACTGAAGTTGAATGTATAGGGCATGATGAAGGCCGGCAACTGTGTAACTAATTTGAATTGATAATCTAGTTATTAATCAAGTTACACACCTTTTTCATTTATGAGCGAAAGAAAAACCAGACTGAAGTTGAATGTATAGGGCATGATGAACGCCGACAACTGTGTAACTAATTTGAATTGATAATCTAGTTGTTAATCAAGTTAGAAGCCTTTTTGATTTATGAGCGAAAGAAAAACCAGACTGAAGTTGAATGTATAGGGCATGATGAAGGCCGACAACTGTGTAACTAATTTGAATTGATAATCTAGTTGTTAATCAAGTTAGAAGCCTTTTTGATTTATGAGTGAAAGAAAAACCAGACTGAAGTTGAATGTATAGGGGATGATGAAGGCTGATGACTGTGTAAGTAATTTGAATTGATAATCTAGTTATTAATCAAGTTAGAAGCCTTTTTGATTTATGAGCGAAAGAAAAACCAGACTGAAGTTGAATGTATAGGGCATGATGAAGGCCGACAACTGTGTAACTAATTTGAATTGATAATCTAGTTGTTAATCAAGTTAGAAACCTTTTTCATTTATGAGGGAAAGAAAAACCAGACTGAAATTGAGTGTATAGGTCATGATTCCGAGAATAAGCTCAATGTGTTCGTAAATCACCTTTTCTAGTGTTAGGTTTTCCGTTCAAGGTGGCTTGGCTTCATACTTTCAAGGAAATCTATAAGATACCTATCTGTCGCTGGGATTGTTATTTACTTGTCTGTAAGAATTTGAGATTTGAAAATCATGGAAACGGGAGAGTGAGCCCAGGGTAACTAGGTGGAGTCATAGTTTTTCTGATTATGGATGTAGAGTTGGGGTTTTATGGGATACTTGTTGGTGCCTGGTGGTGCTTTCAAATTGTACGAGTTGAGCTTTTGAGTTAAATGCTGAGTTAAGCTCGTGTTGTGCAGTTTTGGAATGTTCAGCCTAAAACTGTTTTGATGCTAGTATAGCACTAATATATGCAGTTGTGTTGGTCTTGTAGAATTGCTAGTGTGGGTGGCTGCTCTGATTCACCCAAATGAATAAAGTAAACACACTGAGTAATATCTTCAAGTAAAATTATCATATTGAAATGATGCACCGATTCGACTCTCGCAAACCTTAGGATTCGACTCTCACAATACAAGTCCAATATGCTTCCCTATTTATTTTGAAAATCTGCTTGTAGTGGTTAATTGCGGTGTCATAATCTTTGCTCGATTATCCTACAGTTTATCCATAGGTAATCTTTGATGTTATTTTCCTTCCATATATTAGTATGGAAAATGATCACTCTGAGAGATCTTTACTTCATCAAAACTAATTACATATTTTCTATCTTCAATGTCTATCAAGTTATGATGCAAAATATTTTTCAAGTTATTGTTATGGCTTTTATTTCTTACACCGGTCATGGACATGAAAGTTGATTTTTTGGGCATCTAACTTCATTCAGAATTGCAAAGCCCCATTTTTTCCCTTATATATGTTAGTGTTTGCTCATATTTCTATTTTTTTTTTCTTGCGTTTGCTCAAGTTTTCATATTTTAAAAGGAGATGGCTTCAAAATATTGATTTTTCCAAGGATTTTCTTAAGGTCTTAATGAATCAATCTGACTCCGGTCTATGAATTCATTCAACCTTCTCAATTTCTTTTACGAGTGCGGTCTGTGGGTTGGCTTACAAGTTTTAAATACTCTCTCAAAAGAGAGAGAGAGAGAGAGAGAGAGAGAAGTATACCCACTCTGTCTACTTCTCTTTGCGTCTTTTCTTCTAAGTCTGTCTGTCTGATTTCTTCTCAATACCCAAAGAAAATTCCCATGCCCATACCACACGATGTCAATGTTTCCTCAAAGAAAAGATGGTGATTTTAATGATTAATAGTCTGGGTTTTGTGTGTACATGAAGGGAGAAGGATGAAAAAGAGTGTGGGTTTTGTGTGTACATGAAGGGAGAAAGATAAAGGAGAGTGTGGGTTTTGATTTTTTTTTTTTTCTTTTTTCTTCTTTTGCCCCCTTAATTTGGGTTTTGGGTTTTGATATTCCAAGTTTGATTATTTTTTTTTCCTTTTTAAATAAAATTGAATTATAGTTTTGGAATCTCTTTTGAATAGATGTGAGTCAGTGGGCAAAGTTTTGATTTTCTTCTCTTTAATGGAGATGAATACGAAGGTCAAGAAGAGGAAGAAGAAGATGGAGAGTGTGTTGTGTGTGTACGTGAAAGGAGGAAGATGAAGGAGAGCTTTGGGTTTTGAATTTTTTTTTTTCTTTTTAATTTGGATTTAGGGTTTTGATTACTCAGGTCTTTTTTTTTTTTTCTTTTTAAGTAAAATTGAATTTATGGCTTTAAAATCTCTTTTGAATATATGTGAATTCAGTTAAGTTTTTGGACTTTCTTTTCTCTCCAACCGAGAGGATTATAAAGGTCAATAAGAGGAAAAGGAATATGAAGACGAAGAACAGAGAGAGGTGTTTGTACACGAAGGGAGAAAGATGGAGAGTTGTGCGTTTTGATTTTATTTATTTATTTATTTATTTTGGGTTTTAGATTTTGTAGTCATTTTATTTTTAGTTTATTTTCAAGAGAGCGCCATGTGTTCTTGTTTTATTAGATCACGTGATTTTCATGTCCAAAAATTTTTTTAAAAAATAAAATTTGTTGACCAAATCCAAATAAAAAAATTAAAGAAAGAAGACTAAAAATATAACTTTTGACTTTGAAGAGTAAATTATAAATTAATCCATTTTGTTTAGAGAAACAAATTAATTATTTTTTAAAAAATAATATTTGGTTTTTTATTTTTTAATTTTATCAATAACTTTGTTTTTTCATTAGTTTTTTTATTCTATTAACTATTTTTTTATTTTCAAATTGTAATTTTTGTCGTTTTGGGTTGAGAAAAGAGAAAGGAAATAGATGAAGAATAGAAAAAAATATATCAAAAAAGAGTAATTTAGGGAAAAAAAAACTAATCTAATAAAAAACTGTTAAAAAACTAAGTTATTAATGTAATTAACACTTAAGAGATTAAATGATTAGTTTTTAAAATAAAAATAATTTATTTATTTATTTCTCAAAATAAGAGGGATTAATTATAATTTACTCGACTTTGAAGGACCCCTATGAAAGCCTCCTTTAGATTTGCGTTTGCCTTTTTCGTGTTCATAGCTAAGCGGGCATTATGTTTTCATGTAGATAATGTAGATTATGGCCCATCTTTCTTAACTATTAAGTATAATGCTGTGATTTGGTTTAATAATGCGGTGATGAGGAAAGCTTCGATTAGACAGTGCTCCGGTAACAGAAATGGGAAAGATTCACAAATTTATGCATGATTTGAAAATGGGGTAGATCCCAAAAATTGCATCCACTAATTTAAAATACTAATTGATTTAGTAATATTCTATACTGCCGGTTAAATATGGAATAATATTTCAACTTTAATTTTTTTAATTCGAGTATTATAATTATTTTTTAGTTTGTAATTAAGTTGATCGATTCCAACGATCAATATGTGGACACATATGATAGACATGTGATAGTAAAATGACTAAAAAAAACCTTATAGTTTTTTTATGTTTGTATCCACCATTTCTTCTTCTCTCGCTTTTCACTAGATTATTAGCACTAGATTGATAAACAAAAGATTATAAAACAATTCTTAAATCAATAAAAGATTAGTAGTTAGCACTCTTCTTCCCAATCATCGTCCCCATATCACCCTAGAAAAGAAAAAATATTGATCTCCCTTTTCTTCTTCCTCTCGTTGCCAATATAACCAAAACACCACAACCACGTCTTCAAACAACCACCTCGCCATCACATCCATGACCACTAACCACTATCATTATCGTTTCCTCCCTCTCTCGTTTGTTCTTCGAATTAGACCTAATAGGCAAAACCTTCACATCACTCGAAACCGCAACTACCTCCTTATGAACAAACCCATCCCCACTATCCACACCACCAAAAGATGTAATATCTCATTTCACTACTTCACATGACAAAGCACTCACAATATCAATAACAACACCTAACCCCATCCCTTCATGATCAACAATCGCACAAACTCGTACAATTTTGCATTGGATCCCTCAATCACCACTCTCCTCTTCGATCACCTCAAAATGAAGTTCATTTTCAATTTTATTCGAATATAAATTTAGGGAGAAATTTACTGGACATTAGGGGAATTCGTGCAATGAAGGAGTTTATTAATGAGGACGAGTGAGATAAGTGTGAGTTTCGATTAGGATTAGAGCTTTATTGGCCAAAAGATTTCCAATCGGTTGAGAGTGGAGGGGGAGGTGGTGGTGTTGAGGGAGATTGTGATTGTTGAATGTGTTGTTATACTATTGAAGTCTTGAACATAGTTCATATGTTTTAGCTTGATGTCTTAGGGGAGTTAATTAAAGTTTTTCCAAACAACTAATTGGATTGAACAAGGATGTTTGTTGACTATAAGATTTCACTAGAAACTTGAGGTAGCGAGATGAAGGTTGGGTAATTTGTAATTTTACCTTGTCAAGTTAATCGATAATAATTACAAGGTCCACGTGTAGTTTAATTATTGGATCATGTTAGCATCATGTGCAAAATACGTATCCGGGATTTGGTCAACGAGATTGATTAATTTAATTACAAATAAAAAAATATTATGGTACTTAAATTGAACAAATTAAATTTAGAGTATCGATCAACATTTGATCGATAATATATTATACTATCGAACCAATTAGCCATTTAAAAATTTCCTAGAAGGAGAAGGATTAAGCATAAGGATAAACCTTGATCGTAAGAAATCTTTTTAAACAAAAAGTTAAGGCCAAATAGTCCAAGCTTTTCTTGAATTTTCAATTATTTGAAAAGAAATTTCTTAATTTTCAATTTCGAGTTGAGTTCATCTTTAACTATTTTTCATTTGAAATTAAGTTATTTTATTTAGTTTTCATTAACGTATAAGTGTAATTTTTTGGTAGCTAAAAACATATCAAATATTACATATGATTTTTTTCTTTCAAAACTTGTTATTTCACTCTTAAATGCTACAGTAATAAGCAATTAAAGAACATTTTGAAAAGAAAGAAACAAATTTTGAAGAAAAAAGCAAATATACTTAAGTTTTTGCACATATTAGCTATTTCAGACGTTAAAAAATCAACCACATGTAAACTCCATGCATTTTCACCGTTAAAATTGATAAAAAATTGATAGAATGCCTCACTTTCAAATAAATTGATAGAAATTTAATAAAAAGATTCAATTTTAAGTAAAAAGAATAATTGGTAGAAGGTTCAACTTTAAATTAAAAGTTGAGATATTTATTTTCAAATAACATAAAATTCATAAAATGTTCCGACCATTTAACCAAAAAAAATAACTAACACAGCCATGATTTAAATGACCAAAAATTTCAATAAAATTACTGCCAGTGCCATTATTATTATTATTATTTAAATTCCTTCTCTCTTTTTCCTTATATGTAGCAAAACTCTTAGCATAAAGGCTGGATGGTTATCTCTATTGTGAAATGTAACCCGATTGCCAATTATAATTTTCGTTCTACTTTATTGGAACACTATTATATCATTATTATTTATTTATTTATGTCTTGTTCGTGATAAAAGCCTATCGACAAAAGAAATACTAAAAAGAGAAGGTGACCACCCTGCATGGGAATTGGGATGGACCCAAATCTCCATGAAAGCAATTCGGATTTGTGTACAACAGTACTTGAAGGATGGGAAAATTCAATCACAAGAAAAAAGAAAAAAAGGTTTGTACATATATAAACAGTCGCTTTAGTTACTGAAAGCGACACATGTAAAGTGGTCTGCAATGGATTGGCAAAAGGAAACGCACCAATACATACTTTTCACCACATACATGCTAAACCATTTTTTTATATATAAATTAATTAGTTCTCTTTATTTCGAAAACTAACAAGTGTTGACTGTGTTAAAGTTAAGATTATTTTATTTTATAAAATGTTATCCTTTCTTATCCATTCTTCCATATTTTTATTTATTTATTTTTAAAATAAAAAATCAAAATAAATTAAAAATACAAAAACTGAATAATTGATTTTTAAAATAAAGAAGATTAATTAATTTATTTTTTGACTCATTAATAATTTACTCGTAAACAAAAAGATTAAACAGTTACCCAACAGGCTTGGCCAACGGTATAGAATTGAGCAATGCAAGCCTATATATTTTGTGATTTTAACGATACATATGGCGAGTAGAGAAGCAAACTACAAGCAAGTGAGACAATTTATGATTGATTAGTATGGAAGCTTGCTGCTATCCGTTCGATCTTGTACATGAAAAGGATTGAAATATATGGAGACAAACATCTTTTTTTTTTTTTTTTTTTTGCCCTTTCCCTCGCAATCCCAAGTGAAGTTCTTTCCTAACTTTTACTTTTTCTCTCTTCTGAAAACTAGACCCACCAACAATATTGCATTCTTCAACTTTTTTTTTTTTTTTTTAATAACAAGGTAAACAAGCTGGTAAGTAATGGAAAGAGTGAAGGAATATATAGATGATGAAAAAGTCAATTCCAACCTTCATGCTTACCACGTCTTTTATTGAAGATAGACCTTACAAACATCAAACAAACAATTCCAAACCCTAAAGCTGCCACTCCTCCGACTGCAATGGCCACTGTCTTCTGCGTATGTTGCTTTGTCCCTACATCTATACACACCACTAGCCTTAGAAAACTTTTAGCATTTATTTTGAGTAAATGAATCTAAATCACCACAAATACAAACACAAACGCAAACAAAACCCTACCCTTCTTAATCTTTGGCCAGGGTTAATTTTCATTTCTAAATCTAATAAAACAGAAAAAATCTCCTGAATTAACACTAAAAGACTCCAACTTTGACCAAATAAGCAGTCCAAAAAAAAATCACCTGTCTCATTCAGACAAAGCATCTCAATCTACATGTCCTATTACTTGTATGTATCTTTAATTCATCAATCAAAGGCCCTAGGGATCTCACTTTTCCCACTCTTCTCTCTCTTGAAAAATACATCTTTCAAGCTTCCTAGTGGGACAAATAAATAAATAATTAAACTACTCTGTACATTAGAATAAAGAAGCCCAACTTAAAAGATAACATTAACATAAATAAGCATATTATAATACAATATGAAAGGAGATTCAATTTTGAAAGAGATTGATATTTTGTCTTTTAACTTTTACCTGAAGTGGAAGAAATGTTAGGCACTCCATTTGGGTAGTAGCTGTAGCTAAGATAGCACTTGTTCAGATACAGTTGCCCAGAAATTGAGTCACCACACTCACTTTTCACACTCTGCACAGCACTATTCACACAATTTCCACAATCCCCACTTGACAAATTCCCTTCACACTGCCCCAAAACAAACACTGACTGGTATTCTCCAGTGTAAAACAACCCATTACTACCATTCTTTACACCATTCACCATAGTTTCAAAAGCTGCATCTCTCCTCTCCTCAAACCCAGCTCCACTCGCCTTACTTGACCCACAAACCTTGTATAGCAACTCAGTTTCTGACACCTGCTTAAAACCAACAACCTCGTATTTAAGGTAACACCCACTAAGTTGGACCCTGGCTGCTATGACTTTGCCACAAAATTTGTCAATCAAGTCTGGGATTTTGCTCACACAGGCATAGCAAGGGTTGTTAGTGAGATCCCCTCTGCATTGGTATAGACCCATAATGGCATTTTGACCGTCACCAGATGTTGTTGTGAAAAAGTTTTTCTGTGAAGATTGTGAAACCAAAGAATCCAAGAGGGTTTTGAGGTTTTGAGAATAGATCTCTGATGGGTCTTGAAATTTTTGGTCAGCACATCCCTTGAAAACCAAAGTTGTGTAATCTGCAGCTGTTGCGGCTATCACTAAAACTCCAAAAATTGTGATCACAAACAGAGGAAGAGAGAAAAGAGAAGAGGGTTTTGTGAATAAACCCATTTGAGAATTTGGGGTTGATTTTTTCCTTTCTTTCTTTTTTTTTTTTAATCCAAGCCTTCAAGGCATGAAAGGTTAGTCCTTTTTTAGAGTGTAAAAATTGGGAATTCTGTAGAGACAGATGGGTTTTAGGTTTAGGTTTAGGTTTAGGGCTGAAATCAAGAAAAAAGCTGGGTAATATAGGTGACTGAGGTGTCCTTTAGACTTGGGGTGGAAGTACCTTTTTGGGTTGGTTTTATTTTCCTTTTGTACACACTTGCTTTTCTCTGCTTTAATTGCTTTGCGCTGATACAATGATGATAAAATTTTGAGGAGATTTAATCAAATGGGATTTGCTGAATAAGTAAGTATTTCAAACTGTCATGTTCAACTCAGGGGGGTTAAGTGTGTATGTTAAGAGAAGTTTACGGATTAAAAATATATTAGCTAATTACTGCTGGTAAATAACTCACCGTAAAAATGAAAAGGCAATCAGCTCCGATTGTGTCTGCAGAATTTGAGAGTAGAGTAGGAATTTTGAGCAGTACTTGGTGTGTTTGACTGCAACAATAGAACATGAAACGTGCTATCACATCACATGAACGGTGTGTTGTGCTTTCGAATTCAAATGAACCAAATTTTCAGGGTCACATGCCCTGGCTCCTAGCTCATTCATCATTCTCTAATCCCTCACTTTTTTTTTACTTTACTTTCTAAATTCCCAATTTTTGGCTTTTTACATTGCTATTCCTTCATTTTTTAGAAGAACATTTCTTCAAACTATTAGTTCAACCTATTAAATGTATATCACTTGTCGCTACCCAACATCGGACGAGATTTTCAAAAAAATTAAGTTATTTAAATATATTTTAGAATTATTTATTATTTTTAGGGATATGAGTTATCTAATATTGTAGGAACTAAAAACTTAAAAATAAGATTGATCCGGAGATTATAAGGTAGGAAATTAGTTATTTTTTTAGGAAGACATAGATTACCCAAAAGTACTATTACCTAACAAAGGTATCACCTTTAGTTTAGTCATAAAATTCATCTCTCAAGATATTTTATTTGTGTCAAATTATTTTTGATTTGAACTCTAATTTTTTTCAAGTCAAATTAAGTTTTTTTATTTTTTATTGTGGCATATTAATCGTCGGACTCTTTCGTCGGGAGATATGTTAGTTCAAACATTGGATCCACTTTTAAGTCTCAATATAATCGGTATGTCGGAGAACACTTTGATTATTAAAATGATTTTTTTTTTACTAACAACGAGTCCAATCGGATAGGAGACTTTATTAAAAAAATTTATTTTTATTAATCCGATTTTTTAACAACAATCCCTATCGGATATGAGATTTTGTTAAGAATTTTAATTTTAATTAATTTTTTATTTTGTTTGTTTGTTGATGAACAATCATCATCATTTGTTGATGAAGAATAATCATCGATCCCTAAAAATTAAAAAAAAAAACTTGACAATTCATTCATCAATTAATTACCTAACCTAATTATTATGATAAATTATAAAATTTAAAGTCAAATAAATTTCAAGGCATTTGAAAAAATAAATCTAAATTAATGCTTGAAATAAAAATGCATAAATAAATAAAAATACTCGGATTCAAATTATCTAAAAAAAAAAAAGGAAATGAAATCAAAGCATAAACAAAAACTATTTTTTTTCCTTTTTTGGGCCCTTGGTCCATTAGGCTAGGCTTTCATTTCCTTTTGCCTCTTTTTCTTTTCCCTTTTTTTTTTTTTTTCCTTCTTGACTAGACTAGTTCTAGTTTCATTTTGCTTTGTATATTTATTAGATTTTTTACCCACGTTATGCTTGCTAGTCGGATAAAATACATAAATTTTTTTTATTTTAATAGCCTATGTTATATTGTACATCTATCAAAAAATATCAAATAAAAAATGAATAAAATTCATTCAATTTTTTAATTTTTTAATCAAAATTTTGTAGTTGACCGACTAATCTTTATATTTTTAATAATTTTTTTATTAAAAGACATTATTTATTTATTCTACCCATAAATTAATTTTTTTAATAGTATAAAAAATGTTAAAACAAATGGATTCTTAGCTAAAAACTTATTTTGCAATTTTTTTTAAAAAAATTCTCTTAATTGTTTTTAGTAAAAAGTAGGAACAAGGGACCAAAAAAAAAAAAAAAAAAACAAAAACAAAGAAAAATCATTAAAAAGAAAAAAATAATTTATTGTATAAATTATAATAATATATTTTAAAAAAACACCGATGTCCTAAAATTTATTTCAAAATTCATATAATTAAAAAAATAAATTTGTTAACAAATAAAATTATATCAAAAAATTAATTTGATGAGAATTCTAATAAGAAACAAATAATTGAAGAAATAAATTTAAATAATATATATATATATATATATATATATATATATATATATATATATATATATATTCAAGTTGTAAACAAAACAAAAAAAAAATTAATTTATTTTTTATATTTTTCACACATTTTTTTATTTGGCAAACCTTTTTTCTTTTTCCTTCCTATATATATATATAAGGAAGATAGGAAGGAAGGGGAAAAAGAAGAAGAAGGAGGACATGCGCTTGGTTGGTTTGTGCAACTAGGTGCACTTGAAAAAAAACCTGGAACTTCCGGGGAACTCGATTTCATCGGAATCTTCATCAAAAAATCAAGGATCAAGTTTCAAACCCCTACAAATTGAATCCCGACATTATTTTTTTCTCAAACACCTCTAAATGACCGAAATAAATTCGGTAAACACATCTAAAACTTTAAAAATCATTTTAATGTACACCAAAATAAATAAAAATACACAATCAAATCGATTTTTTTTCCTTTTTTTTGCTTCAATCTACCTCCTTTAATTGTTTAATGACTTGAAACAATCATGAACAAACTCACATCTCAAAGATAAAAAAATTTAGTGAATTTTCGTCAATTAAAACTCGCCTAAATAAGCTTGATCGGTGATCTCTCTCTCTTCCGTCTCTCTCTCCCTCCCTTCCCATACCTAAGGACCAAAATGGATGAGCAAATGAAGATGTGGATCGAAATATTCGTGCAAAAATATCGGATATCAAAGTGTAAAAAAAACTATGAACAAGTGAAAGGAATAGTGAAATGTGAGTGTGTGAATAGTGTTTGGAATAGGAGATCAAAGTGTAAAAAAAGCCATGAATAGTGAAAGAATAATGAAAGGTGAGTGTGTGAATAGTGTTTGGAATAGTAAACCAACGTTTTGTTTTAGTTTGTTTTATTAATTTTTTTATTTTTTCGGATAAACCTAGACTAGTTCCAGCTTCTTGTTTGCTTCTCTCTCTCTCTCTCTCTCTCTTTTTGGGTCTAGGATGGACTGAAACCAGCCCAGTGTATTTTTTTAGGTTTTGCTCAAGGTGGCCTAAGCACTAGCCTCGATTCGATTTTGCACACTCGGAATTGAGCCCAACGCTCATTCTTTTTTTTTTCTTTTCTTCTTTTTCTTATTCCTCGGCTAATCCTCCTTCGTATCTTACGTGCAATAACTACTATAACACTCTTTCCTTCCCCTTGACCTAACCATTCAGCTCACACTCCCCTAAAAAATCACCTTTTGCCCCATGCTAAAGCTTACGTAGTTAAATCCAAAGATCTCTATCAACATTCCCTCATAGTGATTTTATAATGAAAAAAGTAAAGTCACCGTCATCTTGCTTCCTCTATCCAAGAATAAAACTAAAGCATGATGGGGCGGGAAAATGAAGGAATATGAGGGGTAGAAATTTACCTATTAATCTTAAGTGATGATGCGGGTTTGAATGATGAAGAAGAATGGGCGATAAAATTTTATCCATAGTGCCTTCTTGCTTTGATCCGAAAATGGTGGGCTTTAAGTTCTTGCTTCCCATCGATCTTAGGCTCCTACACTTTACCCCGGATGTTGCATGATTTTTGGTTAGAAACTTTGAAGCTCGAAATATTTCCAAGCTTTAAAATTTCCAATCATTCCCTACCTTTTTTTTGTCTTTCTTTTATTTTTCATTTTTTTTTTTACTCTCGCCCTCACTATTGTTATTTTCTCTAGCTAACTCCTTCCTCTTTTTTCTTCGGACACCACTTCTTATATAGCCCCTCACTTTCTTATCCATACACTTCATTTTATAATCTTCCTATCCTTTTATTTTTTCTTGCTCCCTAAGTTTTTCTTTTGTTTTTTGTTTGCCTAACATCTTTTATTCATTTTATTTTTATCAACGTAGGCTTGTGGGAGATAAAGTGGGAATAAGGAGTTGCCACCTAGCTAATTGAGAAGAACTAGAAAACTCTAAATGTATTGGTCTATAAAGATATTTGGGTAAGGAATTGATTATAGCATCATTGTTATCCTATCTTACTTAAGATAGGTCAGTACTCGAATGCATATGAAAATAAAAATATGATGTTTTATTGTGGTATGGTTTTATGCCTATTTAAGTAAGTTTATTTGGTTAAAATGTAAAAATAGAATAGTTTGGGGGCTCAAATGTAAAACAAAGTATTTTGGGGGTTTTGATGTAGAAAAATAGTTTGGTGGGATTAAGTAAGTCTAAGGCTAATACTACTACTCAAAAGGGAAAGTTGAGTAAGTTGGAATTTCAACTAATCTCTAGTGAGCATGACTTATACCGAGGTGAGTTTCTAAAGATTAATAACCTTTTATTAGCATGAGCAACAAGTTATCAATAACTTCACTTACATAAGTAGAAAGCCATCGACGACTTCGAGTCATTAATTTAATAAGTTATCGACAATTTCATCATATAAGTAATAAGCCACCGACAACTTTATTTTACTTTAGTAAGAAGCGAGATAACTAGTTTAAAAGCCACATATAGCTTCATTTTAAATAAGAAAATAAGAAATAAAATAATTTCAATATCGCCGATGGCTTTTTTACACAAGTGGGACGTCGGTGATGACTTTTTTTTAACAATTTAAAATTAAATAAAATTAGTTTGGACACCACCGACAACTCTATCCATATA